TTTTTGTTGTAAGACGTTTTAATCTTTAGATTATTTTTATGTTAGTTATTTTAAGTATTTACATTACAGTAGACCTGTATTTCTGAGAAGGAAATGTGATTTTTTTTATCTCATCTTTTATCTCATTAAATTTTATCCACTTTATCTGTTGCTGTTGTGCAAGTCCCAGCCATCCCATTGGCATTGTGAAGCATCATTTTAACACACATAGCAGGCAATTAGCATGTGGAAATGTTTAATATTTTTCGGATAAAATTCCACACTATTATAAATGATGTGATGAAGAGGCCTAGCAAACTTACAGAGAGTAATACACAAAAAAAATGTGAAGGTCTAGAAATTTACAGAACTCTGTTTTGCTTGTTTTGATCCAAATGCACATTAAATTATTTTTTTATTCCAGATCTGAAAATATCCAGATATATCAATAATTGTCTTTGAAAGAATTAGCAGGCTATGGCAGAATTTGAAAAAATAGTGCAACATAATATGGAAAAGAATTCTGAAATTGGATTTGAAATAGGTGTGTAATTTATAACATTGTTCCTTATTAATATGGATTGGAATAAGAACATAATACATTTTTCGTTTTATTTAATATTTATTTTATTTCAATTAAAAAAATTAATAAATAAACCATTTTTTAAAATTTTGTTTTTTATTTTATTTTTTATTGAAGAATGGCTTCAGTATTAATTGCTGTACATATATCCAACTACAGTACCTTACAGGCTGAGTTCTGTACATTATGGATTTAATCACCATAAACATAAATATAATTTGAAAGATTTTAGAAAATAATGAATTTATGAACATTTATAAATTTTAGTCTTAGTGTGTTTTCTCTTATTCAATGTGCGAATAAGCACCCCATTTAAGTGCCCCTCTTGAGTACTCGCCCCTACTAACATGAAAATTTCCTTAAGTGCCCTGTTTGAATAAGCGCCCCTTCTAATTTGAATAAACGCCTCCTAAAATAATATCATAAGATTTTCTTTTTAGCAAGTCAATAATTCAATCAATTCTGGGACTGTGGTTTTGGCATGATTTGAGCTGCAGAGTGGAATCACATTCTTCTATAGGTCAATATCAAAATGAGGATTTCTTTCGGGCAGATGAGAGCTCCGATCCCTACACAGACAGTATATTTCCAACTTTCCTCTTACATAGTAATTTGTCATCCAATTATCTGCTATTTTGCTGTTATGTAAATATTCACAGCATTCTTGTCATGAGCCATGTTCTCTGGACGACTTTCTTTTCCGCCTAACCACCATTCGTAATGTCCTTATATAATTCTTTTTAAGCCAAAAAGTGCCTTTTGAATTTAATTTTCCATAAGAACTCTTCATCTATTTCCATAAGTGCCCCTTCAATTTCCACTCTGTTTCATAAGCGCCCGTTTAAATAAGCGCCCGGTTTAAATAGGCGCCCCTCAGAAAGTGCAAAAAATATTTTAAATGCCCGGGCGCTTATTCGCGCGAGTACGGATTCAATTTTAAATTTTAAATCAAGAAAACTATGCACTTTCTATATCTTTATATATATTTTAACATGGCCTCCCATTACAAAAAAAGTTTCTTCAATAACTAATACAGCACAGTAATCTTATCATTTACTTTACTTATATAATATTGAGCGTTAGCAGATTGCTCTGATTTTTTTCTATATCTTTTTATATTTTAGACACTTGCAGTGATTTTTCCAGCACTGAAGAAAGTAAAGGCAGACCTAATGAAACATGCGTAATTTCAGTTACAACAGAATATTCTGTTATTGAAAATTGTCATCTAAATTTGTTTCCTGTTAATATTATCCATGAGGAGAAAAATATGAATGAATGCAATGAAGTTGAAAAACAATTTGAAATGTCTGGCAGTTCAGAGAAAAACATACAAACGTGTAAAGAGGTAAAATATAAATGTGAACATTGTGGAGATTATTTTAATTTAATTAATTTGAAAGCACACATGGGAATTAAAACAGAAGATGCACCGTTACAATTTGAACAATGTGGAATACAGCCATTACATGAATGTGAACATTGTGAAAAGAAATTTAAAGACAGTATTAGTTTAAAATCACACATGATGATGCACAAGCGAGACGCACCATACAAGTGTGGAAATAAATTTAAAAATGGTTAAACTTCGAAAACACTTATGAGGATACATAAAAGATCACATGAATGTGAACATTGTGGAAAAAAGTTTAGTAGAAATGACACTTTGAAAACACATTTAAGGATACATACAGGACAAACACCATATGAATGTGAACTTTGTGGGAAGAAGTTTAATCATTTGGGTCATCTGAACAGACATTTAAGGATACATGCAGAAGAGACATCACATGAAAACATTCTGGGAAAAAAATCAAACAAATGAGTGATTTTAAAGTACATTTGAGGACACATACAGGAGAAAGACCATATGAATGTGAACATTGTGGAAAAAAGTTTCGTGAATTGGGTCATTTGCAGAGACATTTAAAGATGCATAAAAGAGAAACACCATATGAATGTGAACATTGTGGAAAGAAATTTTATCAAAATAGCAATTTGAAAACTCATTTAAGGATACATACAGGAGAAAAACCTTTTGAATGTGATTATTGTGGAAAGAAATTTTATCAAAGTAGCAATTTGAAAACTCACTTGAAGATACACAAACGAAAGCAACCTTTATAAGTGTGAAAAGAAACTAAACACAGTATCAATTTGAAAACTCATTTGAGGATTCAGAAGAGAAATCACTTGAATGTGAACATTTTGAAACATTAGTGATTTGAGGCTGCAAATAGGAAAAATGTGATCATTGTCAAAGGAGATTCCATGCAAGTGTGGTAATTGTGGAACAAATTTTTAATCAAATTTGAACATTGAAAAACATGTGTATTAATAACATACAGCACAGACACCGTGTGTAAGTGAACATTGTGGAAAAAAGTTCAATCTGTATAACACTTTAAAAAACATTTAAGGATACATATCAGAAGAGAGACAATTATAAATGCGACATTTGTGGAAAGAAATTTAGGAACAGTTTAGCACTTTGAAAGTACTTTACATTTGAGAGTGTGCATACAGGAGGGAAGCCATACACAATGTTAAGAATTCTGTAGGTAAAATGATCATCTGAAAAGAAATTTGATACCATATTTTTAACAATGTGGAAGAATTTAAAAAGAATGTTTATGCAATTAAAAGAACACTTGTGTACATAACAAACATAAATTGAAAGAAACATGAATTTAATTAATTTTAAGTTATGCTGTAGTACTGTACCTAGCAATTTTTAAAGACAGCTAAGAAAATATAAGGGATGATTTTGCATTGGTAAGAAGAATTTAAAGACGTATAATTTGATCTTTTCCTATCCTTGATAAAATCTTTTGATAAATAGATAATTTTATTAAATTTATCATAGTATTGTGTAGACTGGGTTCCAGTCCCTAATCTTTCTCTTAATCAGTTGAAATGCTTAAGAATAAATCGAATTTGGCACAAATTGCGTTCCATATTACTTATTTGCATGGCGTTCCATATTATACTTTACAATTCTCATCAAAAAATTTTCCCAACATAAACTGACGCTGGTGGCGCTTTCCGAAATGCGCTAATACTACGAAAAACTTATAGTACAGGCTAAATGTGACAAAAATCCTATTTAACCTTAAACAAACTCTAATAAAAGGACTGTTTGGAAATTCTTGTAGGCCTATATTTTAAAAGTCATAAAAAAATTTTTGCCACTTTTTTATAGTAGCGTTTATAATATATTCAGGGTCAAAGGTCAATTACCTATATGCAGCATGTTATATATCATAACTCTTCAACTACTTGCTCTAAAAGTACAAAAGTAGTGTCTACACCAAGGTATTTTGAGGCAGCAATTATGGGGAATTTTTTACGCCTTTTAGTAGCTGCACTGACCAAATATTCAGGGTCAAAGGTCAGAATAGCCTTGAAATAGCATGTTCCGGTTCATAAATCCTCAACTACTGGATATCAATGCACGAAAATTGTGTCTACACTTAGATTTTGTGGGGTCAATATTTATTGAAACATTTATGCAGCCTTCTAGTAGCTGCGTTGACTAAATATTTAGGGTCAAAGGTTATTGACCTTTATACAACTATGATGGTCATTACTCCTCAACCAGTTTGCCTACATGGACAAAAATAGTGGCAACATCTACGTTTTTGGGATAATTTTTTTTAAAGTATTTTTGCCACCTTCTGCTGCATTGACTAAATATTCAAGGTCAAAGGTCATTGACCTTTACACAATATATGATGGTCATTACTCTTTAACCACTTGGTTCAGAAGCACAAAAAATAGTGTCTACACAAAACATAAAAATGAGGTGTACTGTATGTTTTGGGTGTTAACAGACAATTATATTCTTCAGGCTTACAAATGTACAGTATTCTTCACTGATTTTTAGAGCAAAACGACAGCCTCTCAAAACCGGTTTTCTTAAAGTAAATCAGTCCATTAATTAATGACCACTTGTAATTGCACCACAGAAATGATGAGAATCCAAGATAAATCTGATACAACTATGGACCAATCAGAGAGCAGCTTGGAAATGATTAGACTGGGCAACCAAGCATGACATGCTCCAAACTTTTTTCTAAAAAACGTTTCTTCTGATATGGTGGGGTCAGTAGCTTAAAAGTGACAGCCTGTTGTTAAATTGAGGGTATGTTGAAAAAAAATATAAAGCATTTGCAGTATTAGGTAAGTTTCCCATAATATATGTATTAATTAAATGTAGTAGCCTAGTCCTAGCTAACCTAGTACAATGTCGATCATAACACCAACACACTGGATGGGAAGGGAAGTTTCCACGGTCTTGGAATAATTGCGGCAACTACACCAGCCAAGAAGACGACAAACCAGGCTGTATATAGAAAACCAGTGAAAGACAACCCTCCCAGTTCAACCCCAAAGATACCGATTCTCCAATATAGCTATGGGAAGAGACATCTGGAGAAGAAATTCAAGGAGCTACCAGAGCTACAAGCAGTTGAATTGAAATGTGATCTTTTATGGGAGTTCAGTTATAAGTTTAATCGACCAATGCCCATGTGGCAAGGAATCATGGCAACAGTGCACAACCAGGAAAAGTTTCCGGGGGTTTCTAAAATTCACTTCCTGCCTATGATTCACTTGTATTCTGGTGACAGATCGTGTTTACTTTCAGCAATACATTATGTATCAACCATTGCGAGGAAATATGGCGAGGACACAGTTGTAACATTTGACCAGCCACTCTACTGGAAAGCGGCAGAAATAACTTTGAACTCTCCAGAACTGAATAATGTAGTTGTCATGATGGGTGGATTTCACTACCTCATGGACCTCCTTGGAGCAATAGGAAAGCTGATGGAAGGCAGTGGCTTGAAAGAGATACTCGCCACCATGTATGGTGAGAATGTGGTACAGCATATGCTTACTGGCAAAGCAGTTAACAAAGCATTCAGAGGTCATCTGCTGATGGAAAAGTGCTTGAATCTTTTGTTAATGAATATGCTAGAAGAGGGCAACCATGTCACAGAACTTAAAAACATCTACTCTAAGATTGAAAGAAATGAAGCAACCATCAAGGACATCCCAGAGAGATGTAACGTCGAAGGATCGTTGAATGACATGAAAGCATCATTAGGATCTGAATCAAGAACATCACACCTTTTTCTCAATTACATGAATATGATAAAAATTGCCAGGAATTTGGTGGCTGCAGATCATTCTTGCAATTGGAACTTGTTGCTAAAATCCATCAAAGCGGTAATTTCCATTATCTAAGGTCATCCCACTTCTTCCTCGAAGAGATGCTGAAACTTCCAGGAGCACCCAGAGCTTTACCAAAGATTTCAAAATGGTTTCCATGTAATAAGACGCACTAATAATTTTTGGGCAGGACTTAGTCCCGATCTTACCATAGAGCAAACATTAATGAGATCTCTCAAAACATCAGGTGGGCTGACAAGAGGCAGTCGGATGACAGAAGCACAGCGGAATTTGTGCATCGAGCAGCAATTAACCTTGCTATGCAGGAGGGCACAGGTGTGGATCTGGTGACAAGCGTGCAACATGAAACATTGGGAAGAGCACGATTGCAAAGAGATTGCGATGATGTTTCTCGACTGCTTGATGTTTTAAGAGAATACTCCCCATTTTCTGCAGATCAATTGCTCAGAGATGTTGTTACTGGTGAGGTTGCAAGTCAGGAAGTCAATGTGGACTCATACCAGTCTGTTGGAAAAGATATTATTAAAGCTATGCATAAGAGAACCGCATTTTCGCATAAGTTTAAGAGAACCCAGAAAGCAGTGACAATGGGAACTACAAACAAAATAAAAGTAGACAAGGACATAAGTATTGACCCCACTGTGCTCTTTCAGCGGTTCCTTATCATACAGCAGACTGTTGATTTTGATACATCTGATGTGTTCAAGTACGAACTGACTCCATATCCACCAGCCCTCTTTGTAAGAAACCATGTAATGCTGACAGCTGATAAGCCAAAGTTGAAGGAAGCACTGATAGCAGAAGCAATGTCAACGTTAAAGGCATATTCCTCAAAGACATCGAATAAAGAGCAGTTAGAAGACCTAGTATATGAAAATGAGCGAGGGGATTTGATAAAAGAATCAGACATAAATGAAGCAAAATTCATATTTGAAAATAACATACCAAAGACTGACAGATTTGTAATTGATAGTGGCTACCTTTTACACAAGTTGTTGTGGCCCAAAGGAGTGCCTTTTCAGAAGATAGTACAAAGTTACACAGAATACACTATCCACAAATATGGCAGAGCTGATGTTGTCTTTGATGGGTATGAGCAATCCGTTTCAACCAAATGTTACACCCATGAGAAAAGAGGAAAAGGTGGTAACCAAGTAAATTTTAGCCTTAATACTGAATGCAAGTATGAAAGGGAAGTCTTCTTAAGTAATACTGCAAATAAGAAACGACTCATATCATACCTATCAAATGAATTCCGAATCCATGTGTAACGTTACACAATACATAGGAGATGCTGCAGATGTAAATATAGTTGATAAAACCCTTGCCATTGCTGAGACTGCTTCTGTAACTTTAGTAGGAGAAGACACTAACTTGCTTGTACTCCTGCTCTTTCATCTGAAAGATTGGCACAAGCCTGTTTTCTTGAGTACTGATAAAAAGGAGGTAAGCAAGGAAATATGCATCACTCTAAAAGAAGCATTGCCCTTTCTCCATGCATTTACTGGATGTGGTACGGTTTCAAGTATATCAAATGTTGGCAAGAAAGCAATCATACAGAAGTTTAAGAAGTCTGATGTACTCAAAGAATGTGCTAAAGTATTTATGAA